TGTTCCATATGGTCTTGATGTTAGAAGAAGATTTGACTTACTTAATAATTGTCGTTCGATAGTAATTAAATGAGATGGAATAATTCGTTCATCACATCCATCTAGAATCCAAAGAATCTTTGATGAATGTGCAATTTGAAATTCTAATTTGCGTCGATCAATTTCGATAAATGTGGATTCTTTGAAACATTCATTGATAATAATATCTATTAATACATACTTTTCTTGTCTTGATGGATAGATATTTTCATTTAAATTGCGCATTTTAATGTAGAATAACCATTCGAACCGATTTTGCCATAAAGTTCCACAAGCCCAAGAATAGGCTGCATACTGACATATTGTCGTCTTGCCAGAACCTGCTTCTCCAAGTATAAGAATACGAGGTTTACTAAAGAGATCTTCAAATCAAATGAATCTTTCTTGTTCTTTAAAATTTAGATCAATGAATGTTTCTTCTAATCCATGTGAAGATTGTTCATTAATCATATTTGAAATATGTTGGTAATGTTGTTTATAGCTCGACTTTAATTTCTCATGAAGAGAAAAATTAGGTGCAACCGGCAAAATATTCATCTTATCTATTTTTCTAAACAGAACAAATCGATCCGGAAAATCATTAACAGGATTTTTCCAGTAGTTTTTACACTTATCCATCAATTCAATGACTGTATTTTTTTCTTGTTTAAGTAGTGTTTCACAAAGCCGTTCGTATTTTTGACCACAACGTATTCGTAAACCTGGTTCGAAACATTTCACTACACAATTGGTAGACGCTTGTTCAACAATGGTCGGTACTTCTTCATCATTGTTTTGTTCGAGACCCTTTATCTTGTGATCAAAATTATAAAGAAGTCGAATACCTGTCTCTTCATCTCAATTTTGTTTTATACTATCGACCAGTAACATAAAATAATTGATATTTTTATCTAAATTTGCAATATCTAATAGACCCAACATTTTCGATCGAATTCGATGGACATTTGATGCAATGAGTTCAGTTTCGTGCATATTTGGTGGATTTAACCGACTAGGATTATCAACACGAATACTGATACGAGTCTGATCGATTCGTCTAAATGTAATACAAACGGCATGACCATCCCAACCAGTTGGAATTATATATTCTTCTTTTGGTTGAAGTTCGTTGATTTTCTTGATGATATTTTCTGCAATGTCTCTGTAGCATTCCAATACAAGACGTCTAAATGATTTCTCCTTATTCAACTTTGATTGCATCATATCTTTAGTAAATTCTATAGGAATATGTTGAATATCATATAGAAGATAATAGGCTTCTAAATGATGTAACAATTCATTTTCAATAATGGCATATTCTGTAGAATTATGTGTCGATGAAGTATCGGCTCTCATCTTGGCTAGCCATTGAAATAGCGTATAGATACGTACTTTAAGAAATTTATTATACGTCAATCCAATATTTAATTTTCGTCCATGTAATAATACTTTATCGTAATTCCAAAGGGCTACATTAATAACATCCATTTCTTCAGATGTATATTGGCTAATACGTGTATGAAGAAGTCGAGAAATAGTGAATTCAAAAAATAAATCATTTTTTTCGTTATTTGATGAGTCATAATAATTGAAATAGAATGCTAAATGTTTTTCAATTTGCATTTTCGTTGGACTATTACGATTTTTATAAAGAAGACGTAGTGAACCATATTTATAAACACTTGTTTCAGCAGCCAACTTAATCGGTGAAATAAACTTGAAATTGTATGAATCAAAATGTGATAAATTGCAATCAACACCTTGCTTAATTAACTTTGAAATTTTATCCAGAGATACCTCGTTGCAAATAGCCTCGTATAAAGACGTTTCCATGTTCATAGCCATTGAAAAACAAGAATTTTATGTTTTTATTTTTCTGTTTTATTCCATTTTTTTGAATGACTTCAATAAAACGTAGACGAGCATGTTTCATGTCTCTACCAACAGCCTCTGTAATACATTTATTTTTCCTTTCTTTTCATAAAGTATCACGTGTAAGGATTTTTTTATTGGTTGCTCTTTTCTCCTGTTTTACGTTTATGAGGTTGAATACAAAATTTAAAAAAACAACATACAAGTTGGTTTGATTCTCTCCTTTTTTTGTCTCATTTTGAAAGTGGAGGCAGTCAATACACCTGTGGCGTTTTTCGACGTATGATTGCATGGGAAATCGAACCAATATATGCCTATTAACACCAAATATATATATGCAAAGATGTTTTCAATCTTGCTTGAGTATATTTTTGTGCTTATCGGTTTGTATTTAATTGAAAAATGAAAGATTTCAAATATAATGTGATTTGATACGTTAACGATATAAATATGTTTACTATAATATTTTGCTTTTCTGATGTATAAAAAAATATTCAAGAAATGATTTGATTACGTTGTTGTTTTTTCCTGTTTAACTAAAAGTTATGATCTCTGAAACTTTCATTGAGGTTGTTCCATGTTGGATAATGTTAAAGACAATGTGCTCAAAGTTGTGTTTTTATATGTACCAGAGAAATCAATAAATTTTCTTTCTCTTTCTGACAAACATGTATTTATTTCGATTCGATCAACTATCATTTATCAATGAATAATGTTTCTTGCCGCAAGATGGTATCTCGATATCGTAGCGACTCCCACCGTTTTCGCTGAGATATTGAAATCAATTGCTGTTCTGCTGATTAAGATCATCTAATATTACTCTCTTCTTTTCATTCTGCTACCTGCTTATATACATGTTTTTCTTTCTTTTCTTTGTTGACATAAGAAACGCTTGTGTTGATGGTTCAGTGTTTTATTATAGTTTCTTCTTTACAATACTCGAATGACTTACGTGTAAACAAGTGTTTATTGATATAAACTTAACGACAAAAAGAAAATAGGGTGTGGGTGTGTGGGTGTGTGGGTGTGGGTGGGGTGGGGTGAGTGTGGGTAGGGTGTGGGTGTGGATATGTGTGGGTGGGTGTGGGGTGTGGGGTGGGTGTGGGTATGGGTGTGTATGTGGGGTGTGGGTTGGAATTTTTTCTCCTCACACCGCACACCCACCCACACCCACACCCACACCCTACCCACATCCCACACCCTAAAATATAACTTTTCAGACATGACTAAAAGACAACCCACTAATAATTGTTAATGAGTGTAGAAAAAACAACTTGCAAAAGGCATTTCTTTTTCTTTTTATTTAAAAAACGTGAGCTGATGTCTACCATCTGTCTTTTCAAACAATTTACAGATGAAAGGTGTCTCAAGATTGGTTAAAAAGAAGCAAACGTGTAATGCTGTGTTTTCTGTGTTGTTTAACTTAAAAAAGTGAATAGATATAGCCAATCGTATTTCTCCGAGAGAAGTTACTTTGAAAAAAAATTAGTATTTCTTTTCTTCTTTTCTATGCAATTAAATTTTGAACTCTGCAGGTGTTCTTTTTAAAACCAAGTTGGAAACCTTTTTTACAACACTTTATCTTCCCTCTACCTTTCCTATTTTATTTAAGCTTATCAACTATTTTAAAATACTTTTTAGATAATTATGGGAAATTCTTATTCATAATAACTGATGTAAGAAGTAACCCCTCAAATTATCTGCTTTGACTTAAACTATCTATCTGCTGTTGCCAATATTGTCAAAGCTGTTCTTATTTATGCAAATCGAAGTTTATTCCTCATTTTACATTGTAGAGCTTAAACAGGATAATAGTCCATTTAGGGTGTGGGTTTGGGTGTGGGTGTGAATGGTAATGTTAGGACCATCGTATTCACCTCAGCACCTATACTCCACGCCCTATCATGATATTTCAAAGTTTGTTTATCATGAACATTTATTTGAAGAGTGGCAACATTGAACACTGCTCAAGTATGAACATCGGCGTGAGGTTTACATCTTAGCTTCGTTACAATTCACACCTCCCCACACATTGTGAATGCAAATATTATCTGTAAATTCAATTATCCAAAATGATAGTCTTGCATGATGTGGAATAGACGCCACTGATTATTAGTTACGTTAGATTTTTGCTGCATTGTATTCTGGCAATGCCATCAATCACGTCATAAAGCTCAAGTAACAGAAAACCAAACACTATGCACTTGGCCTACAATGCAAATTAATATGTGAGAGCGTCACTAAAAATAATTTGCAGATAACTACGCATCCTACAATTAAGAAACATGATGCAACTGCTAGCCTATCAAATGCAGACAATTTAGTAATGAAGTACTTTATCATATTAGCTTTATTTCGATCAATGTTTTATAATGTTTAAATTAAAATTCATAAAATTTGGTCTGACATGAGACGAGCGTTTCCCAAAAATCACTAGTCATAAGTAAATTACGTCTTTTTGTTTGTTCATTGAACTAATATTTCTTGCCACTGTAATCCATTTACAAGACCAGTTTTATTCTTACGTTGTAACATTTTCTCAGTAATTTCAATTATTCCTCCATTGTTTTGTTGCATATTCAACTTCTCTAAATCTTTAATTACTCGTTGACTTCCATAATATGCATGACGTACAATATCTTCTTGAAATCCATGACCTAAAGTGACACATTCAACATCGTTTACTAATACTGTATGACCTTGATCGAGTGCAAAATTATATACAGCTTCACAGAAAATCTCATTGGGTGATGAGACAAGTGTACAAGGCATAATCCATTGTTGATTCACGCGAATAGGATGCCAAGCAGTAATAATTAAGTTATTTTCAACCTTTGAAATAATAAAACGATTAATATTCTTGATCTAGTGAAAAATAAATTCATTGATACTCACTATAACCATTTTAGCTTTTCGATTTTTACATATTGTTTTCACAACAAATTTTACCATTCCACCATGTGGTGCTAATCGATCATCAGGTTGAACATCTTTTACTAATTTCAAAGAACCATTCATAAGACGTACAGTACATTCTCCATAAAAACATCCAGCAGATGCATTATGAAAAACTGACATATCTATGGTAGCATCAGTCTCCGTACGTTTTGGAGCTGGTAAACTACAAAATATATCATCCATTTCATCTCGTATTTGTGAGAAAAGTAAACCCTTTCCGTAATGTTGAACACCTGGATCTTTAAAATTGTTACAAAATTGAAGAAGATGTGCACCTAAAGAAAATAATTTTAATCAATCTCTTTTCTTATTATTTCTATGATTCTATTTCAAAATATTTCAGATTGTTTTTTCTAATGGGAAGAAAAGAAAAGTATAATTTTCAATAATAAATGGTACATCCACATGTCTTGAATCCTTTTCGTTACAGTTCTTATTAATAAATATCAAAATAAACTTACGTGTTAAACTAGGCAAAAAATGTACACCCCATTTTTTGAACCATTCCATTTTTCCAATAGCTTCTTTTACTTGTCCTGTTAAATCACTAAATAAATCTTTAATATATTTATCTGTTCCATCTGCATAACTCTTCATATCGTTTTCTAATTTTTCAATTTGGTTGATTGCTTCTTCATGTTCCTGTTTGTCTTCTGTTACGTTTGTTTTTATTTGACGCATGTGTTCTAATGCTGTCCGTACTGAATGAACAAATTGTAAACGAAATTTCTGTTGACGGATTAGATTTGGATTAGCCTGTTGAAGATTGTTCGACACTTGAAATTCAATAGTTTTCTTAATGTTTCGTGCATTGTTATATGTCAAAGTGAAGTTACATTGAGTCGACAGTTGATGAGAATATGGAATAAGTAAATCTTTGCTTTGACCATATGTAATAGAACCCAAATCGAATAAAGTACCTTGTTTATTTTTACTTGTCGAGTACCAACGAGTGTAATCAGAGTCTTCAATATGTACATCATGAATCAAGAACTATAAAAGAAGACTATCATGCATTAAATATTAATAAATAAAAGAAAATCGGTAATCAAAAGCAGAAGAATTTTAGTGGTACTTGTAGTTTACTTATTTTATCGAATAAAATTCAAATAAACTTTGAAGAGAATCATTACCTGTACATTAGTTGCTGTTGTTGTTAATAATGTCGAAATAGC